TTTCCAGATGTTTGGAAACATTAGAATTTCCTGTCAGTATATTTAGGTAACATTAAAATGAGGTTAACTTTCCATTCTGCCATCTCTCCTCAAAGATCAAAGAAGACTCACTGCATAAATTGCCTTATCGGTAGTTTGTTGAAGTAAACTATGGAAACAACTTTATAAGAAGCAGTAGTCTCCTTTTGTTGGTTACAGTATTACCAAGCAAATGTTTCTTAAAATTAACCATATTTTTAGCCTCATTTTTACTAAATTCAGAGAGAAAAAGTATAATACACCAAATTTAAATATATAATAAATGGATAGAAGTAAAGAGAGAACAGAAAACTCCCTCACTGTGTTCAACTAAAGCGTATTAATTAGTGTAATGTCTAATGAAATACGTGTACATAAGCATAAATGTAATCAACAATATGTTTGTACTGATAATTTTAAAGTTTTATTTAGGATCAGTTTAGGGGGATCTGGGCACTTACAAAGTCTTTGAAAAGTAGATTGCATCCCTAGAAACCTGTTGTGACCTACAGAACCCAATTGGGAATTCATTGACTTAAATGAAAGTAGAGTGGCAAAAATTCAAATGTTACAATAAAAATACCCACCTGTCCATCCCCAACTGATGAAATATTACCTGTATTAAATACTTCTAGGGGCTGTAGTTGCAAGTTAGCGTGAGATTCTCCTATTCTTGAGAAAGTATGAGGTTTTGAGGGATTTCGGTAATGGTTTTGTGGTTGTTTTGAGGTTTTCTTGAATGCTTAATAATTTCTGTTTAAGGAAAAATTATGCTACTGAAAAAGAGATTAGTAATTTCTTGGCAATACTGTACAAGTTTACTGTGCAGCTCATACAACCTTTCAGATATATAAAATACACATCCTTCCATGGAAGTTGAGGTTTTATAAAAGAGTGGTGGTTGGTTTCTTTAATTTCTTCTAAAGATGAGCTGGTTTCAATTATCCTGAAGTTACTGTAGGGAGCCAGTTTGTAACATGCATATTTACAAAAATAATCAAGATGAAAACAGGTGTAACAAAAGAGGGATTTTTTTTTTTTTTGATAGCTTGTCTAGTCCTATACGTACATTTTCTTTAAATACGTTTAAGACAGAGCCTTTGAGTTTCAGCTTCACCTGGACTTTGGTGCAACCTGAGTGATTTATTTCCTTTTATTTCTTTGCAAAATGTAGTTTTAAGAAATACTTTGCTGGTTATTTCAAAGCTCCTTTCCAAATCCCAGTCTATCCCTTAAGTTTATCCCTTAAAACATCCCTTCAGAAGGAACTTGACAAGGACAAGAACTGATAGCATCTGCCAATTCCAGTTCTCTGTGCTCCAGTGTCACGACCTTGCTTTCTTGAAATGACATCTAGTTTAATTTTATTTTTTTTCTTATTTGAATGAGTTTGAAACATTTTCCAATTAGACTTAGGAACTAAGTCTATTTATTTCATATTGTGTCTTTAACACACTCCTTGTGTGTTAAAAAGATTTAAATATCTGGACATGGATTTAATTTCATTATAATTTTGCTGGGGCTTTGAAAAAAAAAAATTAAGTTTTGATTTTTTCCAAACACACTGAAATATCAAGTATTCATTTATTCCTCTCTCCTTTTTATATCATTGTTAACAATACTAGACATAGTTTTATGTCATATAATTTTTTATTCAGTTTGTTGTCTGGTTTTAAAGAGATGAGTTGTTTTTCTTCTTACCCTTACTTGTAGAGGTTCTCTTATTTTTAAACCTTTTTGAAGTCATCTTGAAATATAAAAATAGAACATCTGTGACAGATCTGGTTTGAACGTATTTCACATTTCAGGATCCAAGGAGATCTGGTGGTCTGTGGTATTCGCTTGTTAATTTCTTGATGAATGGGTAGAAAGGCCACGAAGTGCACTCAGTACAGCACGTCTTCCGAAGATAGATGATCTCAAATAAATTCTATTCCCAATCACTTTTTGATTTGTTAGGTGTTAAACCATTTCTTTGTAAGGACAGTGTTTACAAGCCTTGTAATGAGACAGCCCTGTGAGACCTTACTCCTCTTGCTGTAATTTTGATAAATGGAACTCTAATTCATAAAGGATATAGTGATTGAAGGGCAACTCTGGGTCTCGTACACTTTCATTTAGATAAATGTTTGGTACAGTATAGCAAAACTGAGGTGCACTCAACAAAGTGATAAATTTTAACAACAGCCAAACCAGAGCTTTTTTCCATCAAGACAAAGAAGCACTATTTACTGTATTTCCTTTAAATAAATGTATTTTTAATATTATGAACCAGAATGGATTTTAGAAACATTTGTCTTATTGCTAAGCTCCAAATTTGTGAAACTAATTTAATGTCTTCTATTCCACCATGTTTCTTACGCCTGTGTCTGGCAATATTTCTATAACCTCATACCCTCATCACAAGGGATTTAAAATACCCCAAATTTCATGTTCTTATGATGTTATTTTGAGTGTTATTAATAATCTGGGGGTTTGGACTTTTTTTCTTGTAATTTTAAAAATATATTTTCATGCATAAATAATTTTAAAGAATTGTCATAATCAGTTACTACAGAAATGGTTGACTCTAAGATTACACCAGATTAGTACTTTTCGAGTAATTAATTTGAAGATTATCACATTTTATAAAGCTCAGAAACTTACATAACACTCACTAGAACTACCAAAAAGGAAGAGAACACTGTTTTCATGCTTTCTTCCTTCACTGTGTTAGTTCATCTCAGGCCTGGTCTTCTCTAATGTCACATGCTTCACAACAGGAGCTGTTACTTGTGTCAAACTCCCATGCTGTAAACACAGTTTTAACAAGATCCTGACCTACTCATTAAATACTCAGGACAATTCTGGTGTATTAAAACTGAAATTCTGTTACAGCACATTAATTCTTTGTGTTTTTCCAAGCTCCTACCTTTCTTGCTTCTTTTTGTGAATTAGAGACGAAAAAAAAATACAAACCAAACATAAAACCCCAAAATCTTACACATGATACTGAAAACTTCTCCAACCATTAGATAACTGATCCAGTTTTATATTGGACAGATAATTACAGTTAATTGTATTAAGTAAAAAACCTATGCAAGTGAAATAATGATCACAGCCTAATAACTGAACACACCAAAACACAGCATATTAGTATAGAGCAGCATTGTCTTAATCACTATCAATATGGACGTAATGGAGACACCAACAAACAGGAAGACTAGACATGCTGTCCTTAATTTTGAGCTTTGGGAAAAAAATGGGGTTTTGCTTACTTGTTTGTCTTTACATTTTCAGAGTTTCAGAATATAGTTTCGGAAATAGCAATTGGGGTAATAACAATACTGAATAAGAGGTTAATATTAGGCAATGTAAACATGAGTTATCTCAACCTGTGATGAAGTCCCATATCAAGTGGCATGTTAACAGTGATCTTCAAACAGAATAAACACACCCACAGAAAAATATGCCTCTAGCATTTTTATTTATATCCTGTGACTCTGATGTGCACAAATTAATTAAAAGACTCTTACTAATTATGAGAGTAGGAGGTAAAATCTTAACACCTTCCCGACTGTAATAACAAAACTGCCTGACACATCAGCTCCATTTCATGTATCTATTTTCACTAACCTATCTGCTTACTATATTCCTGTTAGTTGTTCTGTATTAGTAGGAGACCATGAGTCTTTCTGGGCTTTACCTCAGCATTTTACATCTGCCATAGTAGTATGCACAGAAACAGAATCACAGAATATTCTGAGTTGGAAGGGACCCACAAGGATCATCAAGTCCAACTCTTAAGTAAATGGCCCATATGGGGTTTAAACCCACAACCTTGATGTCATTAGCACTATGCTCTAATTCATCCTGTTTAAGTTCAGGCATTGTGGAAAGCAAACAAAATCCACATGTGCGTGGTTTTGCTCAGATTTCACACATCATTCTGTAGTTTAGTAGGAAGCAAATTTCCAAATTATCCTACAAAAATGAGAAATTACTTTTGGATTTTATTTCTTGGTTAATAGAAGTGAAGATGCCCAGGTCTTGTATGGTCCAAGGTGAAAGTGCAGCATTTTCTGTTTAAGAAAAAAAAAATAGAAAGCTTTCTTACCTGACGCTACTGTGAATCCATAGTACTGAAAATAAAACTTATGACCTATACCCAGCTAAGAAAAAAAATCCTGTGAGGAAGTCACAACAGTTACATGAAAACTATTTATTATATGAAAAATACTTATGATTCTATCATTTAACCAAATAATGATTAATTTTTTATATCATGAGAATAAACTCTTGATCTTCCCAAAATGTAATAAGGTATATCTCCTGCCATAAGGAACCATCAGGCTGAATAGAAAAAGTCAGTTGTAGTCAAGAAAAATGAGTATTACCCATGATAACCTTTGGGTAATTGGCACATGTCCATACACTAACATTTTTACTGTGCTCCTTAAAAACACACACACAGATGCGCACCAAAGTTCTCTCACTGTGCTCGTCTTTTTTCTGTCTTTTCTGAATTTCTGCATAGCCTCCCTTGTTGTTACTGTATATTGAGATAACCCATCTCCTACTTCACCATCCTGTCTCACCTATCTCAAAAGAAAAAAATCCTGACAGATTTTGGATTCCTGAAAGCAGCTTCTTAGTTTCAAGTAGGTGGTGTGCTCTCCCAGAGATCAGTCAGAGTCGGGGCACCAGGAACCCAAGAGAAACTCCTGCTGAATTTCTTGCAGGTGGAAAACTAATGGAACAACACTGAGCACAAAGTAAATACCAATTATTAAAACCAGAACTTTGGTCTTTGCAGAACAGTTTGTATTTTATTCAGGACAGGACAGAAAAAAGAGTAAGACTGCATATTTTGTAAACCTTGGTAAAGTTTTAGAAAATGTTTGTTCCCTTTTTCGATAAAGATGATTTATACTGTATTTTTTTTACTACTTGACTGTGGTTGTTTTATTCAGCTAAATTCACAACATTTGTAACTTTTTTAGGCACTGAAGAGGATGTAGTGAAGTCAAAGAAAACTTTCCGAAGCCAAGCTGTGGTAAATCAGAATGCAGAAACAGAACTTATGCTGGAAGGAGATGATGATGCTGTTAGCCTGCTCCAAGAGAAAGAGATTGATAACCTTGCAGGTAATTATACTTTTCATTAGAACTAAGATATGAGCCAAAAAGGCTCTTTTAAACTTGTTAGCTCTTAACCTTTATGGTTAGTGTCTTAGTATTGACAGCTAAGCATATAATTGCAGTATGAACAGATTCTTTGTATTCTAGATTTTATTACTCCTTCCCTACTTCCAGGAACCGATAATCAGGGGAACTGATTACAAAGCATTTGCCCATTGTACAGTCTTTGAGCAAAGATGTGAGAAATACCTCAAGTGCCTTTATTACTGCCTGTGATTTGTTGAAAAGTCTGTAAAAACCACTGTGGAAACTCTTTTTTTTAATTATCTTTTTAAATGGAAATGCAGACTAATTTTACAACTCAGTTTTGTGAGTCAGAGTGTGGCTGTGTGCATTCATGACCTGCTCCCAAGTGCCACACAGCTTGTGGAGAGACACCTACACTCCTCCTGGCCTCCACTTCTCGCAGTGATGGAGTTTGGGGGATCTGTAGTATCTCAACCCATCTGTCATAGCAGGAGAAAAGGTTGCCCATTTTGAGCGAGGACTAAGACAGAATGAAGCTGTAACCAAACTATGAACTTTGTTAATTAGCATACGAGCTGGGAATGAACCCTCCATAAATATGCACACGAGACAGCCCTTCTGGTCCTTTCTCCCTGGGTGAAGGATGCAGTGAGATCCCAGTTTCATCCGTCTTCTAGCAGGTTCTGTTACAGATCTGTCTTGAGGCAATACTACCTTTCCTGGGGAAGTAGTCTGGAAATAAAGGCATGTTAAAAGTCAAAAATGCACTCTCAGATAGGATAAAAATGTGAGAACTATGAAATTCGGTATGAAATTTTTTAGATTAATTTACTTTGGAATACATTTATTAAACTACTCCACTGAGGGAAAGTTTTGTAATGTCATGATTTTTTTCTTCATAATTGAATTTCTAAAATATCTGTCTTTGCTCCTATGCTTCCTTCTGATTCCATAGTAGAAGTCTGTAGCAAAGCCAAGATCATAAATGGATGACTAAAAAATAAAAATAAAAACAAAGCAAAACAGAAAGAAAAAAAACACCCAATCAAATAAAAAAAAATTGCCTCTGTGGAAGTTAGTCTCATACTTTGAAACTAGAGCAGAGCAGAGGAGGGAAATAAATGCTTTTATTTGGGAGCAACAATCAGTATATGTTTATCACAGTTAATATGTCAATCTGCTTGCTTTCTCAATCTGCAGCTAACCATTGCTGAGACACTGTTGTCCAAAGTCAATAAAGTAGTGCATCAAGCAGGACTATGAGTGGGAAAATTTGATCAGTGTCCCTTTCTCCTTTAGAAGGAAAAACTCAGTACTGCTTTGGCTAAATTCTTATATCTAAGAACAGTACTTCCAATTAGTATGCATAAAGTATCTTAAAAAGCTGTTTAAAGGCAGCAATATTCATTTACACTGAAATATTGATTAAAACTGCTAAGTGGGCATGAAAAATTCTTACCCTGTTTGGAAAATCTGTCAGCTATGATGTTCTCTGTGTCTTAACACTGCAATTTTGTTCAAACACACTGATGCAATACAATCCTTATAGCTACCTCCCTCTGCAAAGACCTAGTATTTTAATGTGTCCTTAAGTATTAATGTGGAGGTCACTGCTGGATGACATTCCCTTCTCCTTCAGGACATGGCACAGTCATTCTAGTCCTTTGCTTTTACAGTTTGTAGAAACTGGGAGATATTGTCAGTATTGCAAAAGCAGAAACAATAGTGAAACAAATAAACTTTTGAAATATTGGCAGGATGACTTTGTGTTCCCCATCAATGCTAATAGAGCAAGCAAACTGCTTCCAAGTGTGGTGAGGTGATGGGATAAACCCAAAACCTGTGAACTTCTCAGAAAGAACCTACATTCCACTATCTGATTTTTACTATTAGATTAACTGCAGCCTTTGCTACTTGACTCTCACTCATTTTTGGAGCTGAAGTGATTTTGAGAGTTAATAGTCACACACAGTATCATATGTGTCTTCTGTAAATTTTGCCCACTGACCAAAAAAACCTGAATCCCCCAATACCCCCTGTTTAGCTACCAATTTTGCATGATTTTGCATATAGTTTTCAATGTATAGAATGTGACTCTGAAACTTGAGTCCAATAACTGAAATCAAGAAAACAGTAGGCAAGAAAGTTAGGTTTTATGCCTAAGAAGGTTAGAACAACTTCTGATGGCTCTGAAGAGCCACATTGTCCATTCTTGTCTAATTCTAAAGAGATATATAGTTCAGTATACACGATCAGGAAATCTTTGGGATATATCAAGTTATGGTATAGCACAGCATCATTTATATCTAGTTACTTTTCAAAGTGGAATGACACATAGGAATTTCTATATTCAGATATGCCTCCAATTTAACTTTAAAGCTTAAATCAATTTAAACCTGGTTTACAACGATTTGGACTGTCTCAGTAAAGGACAGGAATTAAACAAAATCTTTATAAACCAGGTTTCAATTGATTTAAGATTGCCCACGTTTTAGTAAAACAATTTAGCATTGTTTATTCCATTAACTAAGGCACATTTTAAACAGATGAGACTTTAGGTTTCAGAAAATTTCTAACTAAGAGAATATAAATAATAAAATATTTTTATTTGTGAACTTAAAACTGAAATAAAGGAAAGTTTGAAACAGATTGAGATCGTTCTTAGGAAGTTATCTGTGCATACCTTTTGTTCCAGAGACTCTTTATAGTTTTTCATCAACCATGTGGCACAAATCAGTGTAAAGTTCTCTTTGATAAATTGCATATGGGATGGAGAATTTTTAAATAATTTTAGTCTGAATATTTGTATTATATAATCTTATATTCCATATATTGCAATTGCAGTTGGTCAGATTTCATTATATTAAGCAACATTTTAATAAAATATAAAAATCTGATTCCATGTTATTATAGTTTAGAATTATGACTTATAAGTTTGCATCATGATTTTTAACCAAAGGAGTACTGAAACTGTCTTACAGTATGAGTTAGCAAAAGACTTTGTTCTTGTTTCAGCATTTACATATTAAAATATTTTGCATGTTTCTGTTTCAGTTTTAGCTCCTTTTCTTCCCAGACTGTTCACTTCAAGAGGCAAGTCACATCTCTCTTAGAACTAATGATTGAGATAGCCCAGTCAATTTTAACAGTTTCCTAATATATTGTGAATCTGTGGGTAATACAATCAAACCCACTGTAGTAAATTGATACTACTAACTCTTGGCCTTTTCTTTTCTGCTTATATTTCCTAAAGCTGCAGTAGGGCTCTTAAATACTTACCTTTTCTCTTAAGATCCTGAGAATGTAAATTTGCTAACAGTTTGTCTCCTGCTTAGTAGGTGATTTTTTCAGAATGAAAAGTATGTGGATGTGTTCTGATATTGTAAGCTTGCATTCTTACAGGGGAATATGTTCTATTAGATATTGAATTTTCTTTTCCCAAAGTTGTTTTTTTTTAAAGCACCGATCTTGTAGTAAACTACATCATTAAAAAATAAATGTTGATCCACTCCAATTTTATGAATTTTACATTTTAGAAAGACATTCTCTTCTCTTTTGCAAGGACACATTTGACTTACTGAGACTTGTCTGTGTGCATTTCAGAGCAGAATTTAGCCTTAATGACATTTTTGAAAGATATATGTTCTTAACTGGAGCACGTTTCATCTATTTTGTCATATAGCTGGTGATAACAACAAATATGTCCCAGCCAAACAAAGCAATCTTGACAGTCCTTTGCTACCCTCTAAAAGAGTAGTTTCTAGAAAGAAAGAAAGAAAGAAAGAAAGGAAATAAAAATAGGAGGATATGAGGCTTTGGGTTATTTTAGGAAGACAAAAGGCTTTGGAAGGCATCTGTCTGGTTACTTGCGTGGGCTCAATCAACTCAGAATCTGACTTCCTCATCAGCCATGGTGAATTACAGCCTCTCAACAGTCTTGTAAGAATAAATTTATGTTATTCATTCCATTAGATGAGCAGATTTAGCAATTCATCCAGGTAAACACAAAGAAAGCTACTAACTTTAATGCACCTTAGTCTTAATGTATCTTAACCTTCACTAAAGAACCTTCTCTTCTTCTTGGACATTTGTCTCTAGGTGGAGACAATGCAAATGTGCTAGGAAGGTTTGAGGGAGCTGCAACATCCCACCACTGCCCTAATTTTAGAAACTCTGGACTTCAGTGTAGAAATATTTCTAGAAAACAGCATTATTACTGTTAAACAAGAGCTGATGTTCTGTCCAAGCCAGCAAGAGTAGCTGGCCCACATTGGCTTGAGAACTAAATGTGATAAGCCTTCTATCCAGACTTCTTGAGAGTGTGCTGAGTGTGTTGGCTCACTGCCCTGTGCTAAAGAACACACTAGGTCATGAGGATTTGACAGCTTGTATTATTATTAATGGGATATAAGACCTTTCACTTCCAGGTCATCTGTTTGAAGTCCAGACAAAACTGGTGGTAACCAAACATTTTCAACATCTGTTTTGTGGCCTATGCAAAATAAGCCTTTTGTCTCATTTCAGACAAACTAACAGAAATCATCATAATTTTGAGCACTTTCCAATTGAAAAAGTACTTGATGCTGTCATTAGAGAAATTGGAAGAGTGCCAAAAGTTTACTACATAGAGTTACAGTTAAAATTGCACAGCAGTTAAAAAAAAAAAATCACTTAGCCCATAGGGAAATTTTCTATTCCTAGTTCTAACAAAGAACTCATTTACATTTCTGAAATTATTTTGAAGTCTTGCATAGGACCAGATGCAGTAATAAAAACACAAACACACCAAGGAACTGCATCTAAAGCCACTAAAAACTTGCAAATTAAGTATTTGTTGGAAAACTTAAACATGATTGACTCATCTTTATATGTATATTATGCATTTCATAGTTGTACATTTATATTTTGAGTTACGGTAATATTTCTTATGGTCAAAGTCTGACATGGAATTTTCTTTATAAGACTTGACCAGTGTAGAC